CCAAATTGTCGTGGCATCGACAGTTACAGTGGCCAACGAGCCAACAATCACCTTTGTATTTGGCATGGTAAGATGGCCACCAATGGCTTCAGTCAATACAAGAGCATTGCAAGTCTAGATTTTTTTATATGACAACTGTGTGCATGCCCAGGAGCCACTTTGAGGTTAGAATTGGTTCTTGTTCGTGGCATACTCTAGGGATATAAAGAAGAACTATTGGAATTAAGCGCACATCAACAATATTTGTGATAAGATGTACACAAAGACAAGGTGATCTTTGCACTGGTAACAGCTCTGGGTCAAGTTGGATCAAGGACCGACCACTAGTTCACTAGTGGTTGGTTGGTGACGTGCCTAGCCCATGTGCAGTGAAGTTGAAGGTGAATGACCCCAGTTATCTGTTATCAGGTCATTAGGCTGAAGGGGAGAAAAGGTAGCCACAGGAAGGGTAAATTAGGAAAAAAAATAGTGAAAATGGTCATGTACTAGCGATATACTGTTTTGTGGCATTTTTCTTATAATTGGTCCTCTCTGCACTGTGCTATTAAACAACGGTTTATGGCAACCAACGATGTGACCAACCTCTATAGGCTGGTCGCGAATAGATGACTCATCCAACCGTCGTCGACTAGCCTGCACTTGATCAGAATTAGTCAAACTAAGGTTAACTATAGTCCTGGGTCGAACTTGCCCTGTGTTTCATTGGCTTAGCTGTACAATGTACAGGCACACATGTACGTGTATTAGCCTTTTTGAAGCATGGTGGTAAATTTAGAGTAAACCAAACAGATTTGTAACCAATCTAAAAGCACCCATCTGTTGTGTCCCCCATACCTCAAAAAGGCTACCTGGACATGCTTGTCATGATTGATTGACATACCAACCAGACATATTGCTTTTGTCCATGCAACATCGACATCACGCAACGAGAACACAGCTGAATTCAGTGTGCAGGAACACAATGTTGTATCCATGTTGTTGTTGTTTTGTTGTAATGGCGCTTTCATCAACTCAGGCTATTTGCGCCAATAACTGTACGTTTATTCATACACTTTATTAATCAGCATCTCATTACGGAGTTAGGAAGAAGGTCCAGTTTTAGAGGCAGGAGGAAACCGGAGTACCCGGAGAAAACCTGCGAGAGTGAGTATGGACTGGAAATCAAATGCACTTAAAGCCTGGGCCAAGCTAGGACTCGAACCCCGGTCTCATTGGTGCAAAGCGAGGAAAGAACCGCTATGCTAACCCACTCCCCCCTGTTGTATCCATTCTGTACAATCAATTCCAGATCAACTTTACAAGACAGATGAGTGGTGATATTGATATGTTTTCGACCAGACTTGTAAGCTGAGGCTGATAAACGTCCTCTGATGATGTGGAAAGGCTATTACACATACACAACTTGGGCAAACGCTATCAAAATATCAGTTTGAACCATCTTTCAATTAATTTTCAGAATTAAAGAAAATTTATTGCACAAAATGAGTCACATTAATCTGAAATGCAAATATATTTTTTCTATTCGGAACATAATTATACAAGAGTAATTATTGCATCATAATATCTCACATATACAATATAGTACACATTGTTCATAGACGATGAAAGTTTGGTTCAAAGCTATGCTGTGAAAAATGAAATCAGTGAAAAGTATGGAATGTAACGCCTGTGCTCCTCTTTCATGACATCGTCACTCTTGGCCATTGTTGGCCGTTAGACCTAAGATGAGTATTGTGGCAATTTTTTTGAGAGGTGAAGACAGACTCTGCTGATTATTCTGTACTCAAACAATTAGAAAGAGAAGTTGGTCCCCATATTTAAATCCTACAAACTAGTAGTTTGTACCTGTTCACTCAGTCAGAATTCCCAGCTTTTGTGTAAAGTGCAATATCTATTTCTAGCAAGGTGCAGACAAGATCACCATCCATGAGTCCAAGCTCTATTCAACAACAAATACACCCCTGTGCTGATGACACCACAGTTTGTTTATGTGCGCTTTCCTTTGGTGCTCAGTGGACCGTGGGCCCCCACCAGTGGCAGCGCTACGTGATGTCATGTGGTTGCAAATGCACCCACTGAAAAGCTGGTTGCACTCACGTTTGCACTCACAACACTTTTGTCACATATCACGACAGGGCAATCAACCTTTTTGTTTTACAACTCCGCATTAAAAACCCAGGAAAAATGAATCATTTGCACCCACAAGATTCTGCGTTCCCCCCCCCCACTTGCATCCACAGCCACCGAGGTCTGTCGCCATCACTGGCCCCCACCGGTTCCTTAGGAAAGTGCACATGTAAACAAACTGATGTCACATCAGCACATGGCCCATGAAAACCAGGAGACCGTCTTTAAGGCAGACTTGCAGAGGTTCATTCAAGGCAACAACACTACTCTTGCTGCACTGAGAAGCGTACATAAGGCACATCTGTGGCATCTTTTCTTGTTGCCAATAACAGGCCTGTGTTCTGATGACATCACACTTTAATTACAAAAGGGGACCCATGGTACACTCAACACCGTAGGGAAGCACACATGTAAAAAAAAAAAGTGTTGGGTCATCGGCACAGAGGTCTATTGAAGCCTGAATCCTCTTGATGGCAATCTCCATAATGCATGATGGTCCATATTGCTAAAGAATGGATTTCAACTGCTAATAAACACTTAGGAATATCTCACAAGGCACTTCATGATCAAATTTGGCAGAGGTAACTCAGTTTCTGCGGTTAATGGCCTTTCATGGCACATGACCACAGAAAGAAAACATGAGTCACACTGTATTTCAAAATACAAAAAGAAACAATAGTGTGGAAACAAGAAATATTCACAGCATTAAATTCCACATGCAGCAAGGTATGAGACGGAGAGA